GGAAAATTTTCTTGGTGAAAGTCTTCTTCCTCACACCTTCCGTTTACAGGTCTTGGAACCAAAGCGTGACACCGCCCCTACTCCCTTTTTCCCCCTCATAAATGGCACAGAAGTGCTATCCTCTTACTGGGAAAAGTTCTCCCAAGTGCTCAAGTTTTCCTTTCATTTGATTGTGTATAACGGCTTTATCTGGTGCCAACGACTGAAGCCCTGTGATCTGAGGCTCTAGCAGGAAAAGGTGGTGTGCCAAGTGGTGCTAAGCCTGGGGACAGAAGAGTGCCGCAGTCAATGTTGAAACCGTCGTATTTGATGAATGGGCAAGGTATGCAGAGAATGTTGCTGAGCCCGGCCACAGAGGCCCATTTGTCTCAGGTGGAGTCCTTTGTAGCCAAAGACAAGGTAGACAGATGCTGGCTGTCCCTGGCTCAGAATTTGTATGGAAAGGTTTGAATGGCTCTGTAATTTCCTTTTGTAGACCTGAGTACAGTATCTGGAAAAGAGGGGGGGAAAGTAGGTAGGAACTGAGGTCTGTGTTAGGACCTGATTTTTTTTTTTGAGACAGAGTTTCACTCTATCATTCAGGCTAGAGTGCCAAGATGTCATAGCTTATAGCAACCTCAAGGTTCAAGAGCTCTTTCTGCCTCAGGTTCCTGAGTAGCTGGAACTACAGGCACCTACCACAACACCTAGCTTCATGTTTCTATTTTTAATAGAGATAGGGTCTCAGTCTTGCTCTGGCTGGTCTCAAAGTCCTGAGCTCAAGCAATCCCTCAACTCAGCCTCCCTGAGAACTAGGATTACAGGTGTGAGCCATTGTGCCCAGGTGGAGACCTGCCAATAAGAAAGAAAAAGGGGGGTAGGAGGGAAGGAGAAAAGAAGTGAGTAAGGGAGGGCAGGAGGACGAATATGACTCAGGGCAACCTTAGGTGGGAAAATACCTGTTAGGTTTGAAAGTTTGAATTTTCATTCTCAAGTTAGCTCAAAAGCCCACTTCATACCCACACAGAACAATGGAAGGCACAGGATGCATGGAGGGTGCATGTGTTGTTAACACCCTGGTACCCACTTATCACAGCATGGTTATTTAAATCTAAATTAACTGAAAATGAGTACAATTTAAAATTCACTTCCTCAGCCTCACTAATGACATTCAAGCATTCGATAGCTGTGTGTGGCAGTGGCTACCCTATTGGAAATCCTGAACAGTCTCCATCAGGGCAGAATGTTCCATCAGGCAACACTTTTTTATTTTTTTAATTTTTTTTTTCAGTTTTTGGCCTGGGCCGGTTTGAACCCACCATCTCTGGTATATGGGGCTGGTGCCCTACTCCTTTGAGCCACGGGCGCCGCCCTCATCATCAGGCAACACTCTTTAACAGCATCCACAAGGCCCGGGAAATTTCTCAAAGATTTTCATGGGCAGGTAGTGTAGAAGAGGAATGCCAGCGTGGAACCAACTGAAATGGTCCTCTGTAGTTCATATTCTTCAGAAACCTTGGTGCTCCATTTAGGGAAAAAAAAATCAGCCTTACAAATCCTCTGTTGCCTCTAAGAAAATAGTAATATATAAAGGTTCTGAGGGTACAATATGAGTAAAGAGCCTCGCTTGCTGTTGATCAACCCAAGTCCTTCTAAAAAAACAGAAGGAATACCTAAACAAGAAAAAAAAAATAACAATTTTGCAATATATGCAGACCTATATCTTTTTATATTTGCAATAATAGAAGTTTCCATGTAGAAATACTCTGTATTTCTGGATCGCTTCTATGTAGTTCATATTTTGTGCTGTCATGTTAACTTTAATTCTCTAAAAAAAGAATTTTTTTTATACTACAATGGATATTTGTATATTGAACTTTACTCCAAAAAAATATTTTTTAAAAAGAATAAAATAAAATAATGTGAATACATAACCTCTATTTATAAGGCATCTATTAACTTTCCATGGAACTCAGGTTTTTACAGAGTACTTCTTGGAAGAATTTTGCCACAGAATGATGTCAAGCCAAGTCTTCCTAATCCCTTGCCCACCTAGGAACATGGGATCATGGCACACAATCAGGACAGTTCCAAATTAGAAAAAAATGAACCAGGATCCGTCTGCTTAGGACTTACGCCTTGTGGTTTTAGGAAAATCAGGTTGGCAGGTATAAATTAAGGAAGCTTAGCAGTGTACATAAATCAAAGTGCTTCTCAAACGTTATTTCTGAAGATACTGACCAGATACACACTGATGTTTCTAAAACAGGTTGCTTATTATCTGCTCAATAGCAAGACTATCAAATGATTTAACCTTGCTTTGTCTCCTGTAGCTTACATCCTGGAGTTTCTTATTTCACAGAATTTACTGAATTTTCACAGAATTTACTAGCAGGTCAAATGGGAGTCCTAGTTAGTTCTCCCTATAGACAATAAGTACCAACATTTTTAATCTACTCCCAGCGGGCAGAGACTTAAAATTTCTTAAGAAAGATGGCAAAGTAGTTTCTAAGCAAGCCATATGTTCTCAGCTCATTGACCACTCTAGGGTGAGGGGACAGAGGTGGGTACTGGGGGGGACCTTGAGCCTCCTCTCACAGGAATGGTTTGCTTTACCATGGGGCAGATCCAGGTTCCTTACTCCCCCCGTGTCCTTCCCTTTCTCTCTTTTCCTATCCCTTTCTTTTCTCTCTCCTTTTCTTCTCTTTTTCTAATTTTTCTTTTCTTCTTCTATGGTGTCCTACAGCCCTGATGGACTCATCCCATCCCACAGCCACCACATTCATGTTCCTGTCTATGGTAGCCTTCTTTACAAACAAATAGTTGCTGAGCTGTTCTCCTGTAAAAATCATCGGCCATTCCCCCTAGAGTTTCACATCCAGGAATGTATGCCATGCCTTCTGAATAAAGAATTATAAGGTGAGAGTAACTCTATCCAGATTTCTGAGGCTTTTCCTGTCTGTGGTATCTTCTCCTGAGTAATTTGTTCTTGCTTGAGGATCAGCGATAATGAGTGTGTGTTAACATTTAAGAGAAACAAAAATAAGGAAAAGAAAGGAAATCTTTTGCTGCTCACACTAATGCCACTAATATGAGGATTCCTGTTTAGAATAGTGCTCTTCAAGCCTCAGACTAAAGGCTTACTCCAGATGACAGCAGTATTCACATTAATAATATAGTTGAGCACTTTAACTTTAAAATATAGTGTGGATTATGTCTTCAAAAGTAAGTAGTGTATGGTAAGACAAAGTTAAGTGAGAAGGTTTATACTCATTGGCTAATTTTTTTTAATATCTATACTTACAATACAAGTTGAGATTAGAAGGGTAATAATTTGGCTTCTTATAAAGAATTTCTACAACAATGCAGGTTGTTTGCACATTATCTATTGCTATACACCAGCCAAAACCCAGAAGAAGATCTTTGAAAACACCCTATATCTTTTAGTGGAAGTAAATTAAAGTTTACAAATAAAATTTTAGCAATGGCAATATCATTTGTGATAATGGTATAATAAAAGTACGTCCTATATGATTTTAGAAAACATTAGACAAGCCCAAGTATAAAATGACAGTATCTGTTGCATCACACATTAGCATTTCATTCTGTGGCACTAATTCAATAGACACTGTCTTCCATGATTTGCAGATTTTTGTACTTTGGCAATACAGAGTGTCGCAATGTGACTGATTCACAAATCTTATTCATCTGTTGTAGACATGACCTGGATAGCTCTGGAATAAAAGCAAGCATCACAAAACTCTTTTTCTGAGAAAAATTCCATGAGCCAGCAATATAAAATAAAGCTGAAAAAGTAAATATGGTTTTGGTGCTAATCCAAAGTTATTTGAGTAAATGTCATCTGGATGGATATTTTTCCTACTTTTTGCGGCTCTCATGCATGACGGTGAGTTGGGGAATCTTACTAGTCACTTAGTAACTAGTAGCAGAATGAGTTTGCTGGATTCCTTCGTTAGCTAACTTTAAAATAGCCCTGAATTACATCAGTAGTCGTGCTTCTGGTACCGACTGCCCTGCCTTTGTTGTTTTGATGACACCTGGCGTAGCTTCTTGCGGCACTAACTCCTGGAGGAGCATCCTTGTGAGAGCAGATTTTCTGTAATCTCAGTGCACCTGGATCCTCAGAGACGTTCTAATGTCTCACCCTCACTCTTGCCTTCCTGGACACTAGGTCTTCTCTAACTTGAAGCACCTTCATCAAGCTTCATATTCCAAGAAAGGGACATAATTGAAAAAAGCAGAAGATTATCATTCGATGCTATTTTGTTCTTTGCTTTCTAAAGCACACAGTACAACTTAATGAAAGAGGTTCTACTGTTTCCAGTACATACGAATGTAACTCTATTTCTGTCAATATCTCTAGATTACACACATTCATTTTAATGACTCTTCTTCTACAAGCTCTGTGTAGATTACAGATGCTCCTCATGCCTTTTAGTTACTTATTCCTGGTCCGTGTTTCTTTCCTACTGTTAATGTTAGGAAAATGCCAAAGCTTTTGACGTGAAGCAAATAGTTGGAATAATGTAAACACATACAGCTGTACTATTAGCAAACATGAATGAAACTGACAGAAAACCCGTATCTTCTAGGCCTTGTTAATTTCCTTCAGCTAATGTCCTAGCCATGAGACATATTCACGGATAGGACTCTCAGAACTATATTCCTTCGGCAGTGTCAGAATAGGAATTAAGATTTAGGACATCTAATTACTAAAAGGTCACTGCTTTATTGCCCCCAAAGAAGTATTTGTTGTTTCCCTTCTATGGGTTTTCATTATACTTTGTTCACACTATGACAAATGAGTTCTTTGCATATTATTACATTGTCTTTCTTCTGATGGATTTGGAATTTAATCTTTTTAAAATCCTTTTATGCAGTTTCAGGTTAATTTGAGGGTCCAGAGAATTAGGTTACAATGTTTGCATTTGGGGGTAGAGTCCCTCTTACCATTGTGTCCCTCCCTCAAGAGGGACCGTACCCTCCAACATTGTGCCCCCAAAATGGAACGCTTCATGAATGTGTGTGTCGTCCTTGCACCAGGGCCAGGCCAATCTTCTCTGTATTGTTCCAATTTTAGTGTATGTGTTGCCTGCTGAAGCAAGCACTTGAGTTTAATCTTTTGTCTTCTGCTTCTAGAATAGTACCTGGTGTGTAGTCACTGTTAAATAAAATTAAGAATGACTTCTTAAAATTAAGAAAGACTTCTTGGTCCTCTAAAGTAAAATTAATTGCTCCCATCTCAACTTCTATAGCATTTTTGTTTCCTCTGTCTGAACTCCTGCAACATACGTGTTTCTGGCTTATTTCCCTAACTTATTGAATATGCACAATAACCAAGCACAGTCAAGGTAACAATGTTGCACTTGCCTAGTCAACTCACTCGGGGCTTTCTGTAAGCGAGAACACCCAAGTGTTGCTTGGATATGGTCTATAAAGGATGTCTTCAACTTAACAGTTCCATAGCTCTATATGACCAAAAGGACAATTGAGAAGAAAGTAAGTCACAAAATCAAACTCGGTGCAGTTTTACTATCTATGTAAATTACCCGTAACTCATAATTTCTGCTTACCATCTGTTAACAATCCTTTGACACATACAATATGGATATGAATTGTGATTCACATGCAGATTCTGTGTGATTCTGATAAAGCTTTAGCCAGAAGTCACTAGATAGTAACTACCTTGTCAGTCCTTTTGTCAGTCTGATTTTTCACTGCCTACTTCAAATATCTACATGCATCTCAAAGGGACCAGTATTCTCCCGGACATTCCTTGTTTAGTGGCAATATTAGAATTCCCAAAATCTCTATCCTAATATTGTCAGTCTTGTTTTCAAATCTTAAACTTGAAGTGTTTCTGTTGTGCTAACTATGCCCATTGCCTTATGTAACTGCTCCAAAAGGGAGTAGCAAGGAAATGGCAGGCTTGACACCTGTATCTCAGCATTTTTGCCTCTCTCAAACTGCCTGCTCTTGCCAAGGTGACTGTTCCCATGGTAGATAATTTGCTGAAGGAAACGCTCTGCTAGGCACACAGATTTCCACTGTTGACCTGAGGATTCTATCTCCAGGATGGGGAGAATCAGCCACCAATGATTACACATACCCCAACTTTCGTTTAGAATCTATCTTTTCCATTTCAGACTCTTGAATACTGTGCGGGTTCCTAGCCTGGGCCTCAGGGCACAACCAGGATTGATCAGGAAGTCATAGAGGTTTGAAATGTTTCCATACCAACCTCAGAGAAGAAATCATGACATAACCACACTAAAGGACACTGGCGTGAAGCAGGCCGTGGTGGTCAATTAATTCCATGTTTGACTTCTGAGCCAGACGATGGTAAAACTGCCAGGGATAAACTTGAAGGGGAAACGATCAATCTTCCGTAGCTTTTAAAGTGCCTGAGCTGAGGAAAGGTGGGAAAAGGGTAAGATGAAAGAATGCAAATAGTGCATCCACGTATTTATCCCTAAACCTGCAGAAAGCTTTTACCTCCTCATAAGGCTAATAGGGTGCATTTTTGTTGACAATTGAAAATCAGCACTCAGTAGATACTTGTTGACAGGGAGGACTTCTTTCTCTCTACATCTTTGTTGTGCCCACTCAAGGATGACAATTAATGAATGATGCTTGCCAAGTTCTCTCAATTCTGGCAGGACTGTCTTTAATTGGCATCATCCATATCTTTCCACAACAGTGACTACGGTTCAGGACCTGTAGGTGAAGTGGGTTTCCCATGGGACTCGCTTAGAATACAAAATCTCACACGCTGAACTGCCTTCTGTGACACTGGAAGGGAGTGTGTTGGCACCTCTGATGGAATTAGGAGGAAAAATAACACACTGCTGTCAAAAAAAAAAACAACAAAAAAAAAACAAATGAAAAACTCTTTTCTCTATGTTGGCTCCTGTAATGGCTTTCATTACAAATGTCCCCAAGCACACCATAATACTATGATCTGCCTAGTTCACAAGTTCACCTTTACATATTAAAGAGCTGCATGTTAAAGAAGACTTCATACATTATTTCTCCAGCTGTACCACAGGCAACTTGAAGGACATCTCGCAGTCTTCATTCTCTCATTAATAACCCTATACAGACTAAGAACTTAGTTCTTTTAGTCACAATTATAGCCATATTCAAAATTCTCCCTATTTTGCAGTGTTTTATACCGGGCTAATTTAATTTGAACTGGTGCACATGCTCTTGAGTACAAAGCTGTACAGAGGGGCCATACTGACACAGTGTTTCTTTAAAGAGTTTGTTCATCCTCCCTTTTTGTACTCCCTTCATGGCAACTCATCATATTGAATGGTTATTTATCAACCCTGCAAATGCTTTCAGTGTGGCCCAACCAGAAGCATTGTATTAAGATGAATCTTGTTTTAATTCTGGTGGATTAATTACATCCAATATTCTAATTAGTGATCTTTTATTATTTGTGACTTAGAGGTATCCAGATAGGAAGGAAGGAGGGAAATAAGGGAGGAAGGAAGGAAGGAGGAAAAGAAAAGAAAGAAGAAAGAAATGGGAAGAAGGAATGAAAGAGTAAGAGAGAAACACTTTGTTATCAAATAGTTAATTCCATTTTATAACCAAATCCAATTACAATTACACACAGAAAGGCACACCTGTAGAAAATGAAGAGGAACTCAAGAGTCTTCAGAACGAGTCAACTAATCTTTAGACTTTTGGCCGACTTAAACCCAAGAATGTTTATATATCAGAGTGAGCAATTTGGTCTTTGGCATTCAATCTCCAGGTGTGTAACTGAATTATTGCAAAATATTTCTCTGAATTTTGATATTGATGTCCACTAGGAAATTAATAGTTAACAGAATCATACCCCTATTACTATGAATTAACTTGGATCATGTAGGATCTGAATAATCGAGGTCTGTCTCTGGAGGGCAGCAGTCATTCTGATCCTTACATATTTAACTGCCTCCAGTATTTTGGTATTTAAAAGGTTGTCTCAGGTATCCCACAGCACCTTTTAGGGCAGCACCTCTGGCAAATATCTAGCACAACACATAAAGAATTCTTTTTTTTTTTTTTATCTCTCCGTTATATGCCTCACATTCTATCAGCTAGTGGGTACACAAAAGTTTCCCTCGTCACTCTGTAGGACTGTTATTTTTCCTCTTTCTTAGGCTTACTTGGATTTTTATTCTGCTTTTCCTATTTCAGTGAAGAGACCCATAACATAGATTTCAGACTAACAATGGAAATTAACAAATATCCTTATCTCATAGGGTTTCAGCAAACAAAAAAGGAACAGGAAATAAGAGTTACACATCACATATTTATCATCCATCCACCATGTTAAGAGTTCTTGGCCCATTGATTAAAATGATGTGCAAATTTCCCTCTTTACTGATGGCTCAGGTCCAAAGCCACCTCTTCCATGAAGCCTTCCTGGATTACTGCTTGCTTTCTCCATTCTCTTTCACCATCATGACCTCCCACAAAACTTTTTGTTTTCACTATGTATGTTGGCCCCTGACTTTCGTCTTGCATATATTTTTTCCCTGATTACTTTTTTATGTCTAAGAGTTCTTCCTCAATAAGAGTATAAAGTCCTAAGGATATCCATAAATAATATTTAACTATAAAGCTATGGAAATAATTCATCCGATGAAGGAACCTGAACTTCAACATCCAAGTGAGAACCCTTACCTTCCAAATAGCTACCTTGCTACAGAGCAGAAGGCTTGCAAGGAAGCCCCCACCACTCAAAAATATCTGAGGCCTTGTCCTAAGAACTTATGACAAAGCTTTGCCTTTTGAAAATAGATTTGGGTTACAGAAATGGCCAGGAGTGGAGTCCTTTGGAGCTTGGATTTATGAGTCATTTAGTAATTATAGTATCTGGTGAAGAGTAAAGTGAAACTCTGAAAAATGACCACTGATTTTCTTGTGTGATTTATAAACCAGCTGCAATGGCAACACTGGGGGATAGTGGCACATGTTTAAATAGGGGAGCTTCATTATTCTAAGTGTATTTTTTATACTTTATCTTAGCCAAAAGGCCGAGAAGCAATCTCTTAATGTATTTTTTACAAAAGTGACTAATTTGAAAGAGTTGGTTCTAACTTTAAATATAATTCTTGCTCATTGTGTTATAAAAAATAATCAGTTTTATTTCTTTATACATATATATACTTCTGCTTTTGGGATATATCTAGCTCAGTGCTGAATAGCAGATAATCAACAGAAAATACTACACACTCTAGAGCCAGATTGCCTGGCCTTGAATTATACCTTTGCTGCCTACCAGCTCACTGAGCTTGAGCGGTAATCTAATTTCTCTGTGTCTCAATTTCTTCACCTTAAAATGGTACAGATTTTGGTGAAGAGTAAACAAATGCACATTATGGGAAGCAGTTAGACGTGTACCTAAGACAAATATGAACTATTAGCATTACTTACTTAAATAAAATTAACTAGTGTTCACTATTATTATATTCACTGCTATTCTAAAATTATAATTTTACCTAAAAATTGGAATCACACTTTGAAGGGTCCTTTTTCACAAATGGGTGTCCCTTACCATAAAGAATTGAAGTCATTCAAATAAGTCTCTCTCCATGAGCTGGCACTGACTGTGTGTTCCACTGGGGCTGCCCTGGCATTCTAAAGCATGAGTGCCCTCAGGATGAAGACATCACAGGTCAGAGGTCTTCACATCACATCTCATGATGTCTGGTCTCAGCATAAACAACACACCATATAAAGTAGTAGGCATAAAGGGGTTTGCAAAGAGGAAAGAAAATCATGTCTGGGTTCTGAATGAAGACACCACACATGTCAAGTTGCTTTTAAAATGTCTGCCTGCCTCTATGGTATTCCTCCCAAAATTCTGCCTTTTAAGGCCGCAGTTGTTAGTTATCCTGTTAAGGAACATGTAGAACCCTTCTCCTAGCCACCTATCCTTGGCTTACTCTAAGATTTGTGCAGGCCATGAGAGAAATATCTTAGCTCTCTTGTCAAGGGGTAAACGTTGCTTCCTTCACATATCATGAAACACCAAGGACAAGCCAACCTTTCCCTCTTTGATGGCCTAGGATATCTGGCTATGTAAGCAGGATGTCCCTCTGACTCT